TCTTCCCTTGAAGCCTTGGACGTGCTGCCCGAATTCGCCCCGCGTGCAGGAGACGAAGGTGGGCTCTGCCCGCCGGAGCTCTCGGAGCCAACAAGGCTGGGTGTCTTTCGCGTCCTCGACACAGCGCTCGTTGAGCAGAGAATGCGAGCAGAAAGTCCTGGAGACGTAGAGTTGTCTTAGACACGCGAGCCTCGTACGAGGCGACAGTTACATGTCAAATGTGGGTGTTCTCAATCTTAATGGGAGAGAGTGTAACGGGTTTACACGTATCTGGTATGGAAGGGTGCGTCACACAAGATGGTGTGACCACACAATGATGTGGCTACACCTTAACGTCAAGTCACTACGCAGCTGAACCGCCAGAAGTTATGCAATTTAATTAGGCTTTACTATTTGATTAGGAAAACCTATATATTTGGACATAGGCGGCTTTGCCGCTAATGAAATCAAGAAAACACTTTACATTTTAAACGAGAGAGCTTATCTGCTTTGGAGCTAGCGGATTGCGATCCGCTACACTCGTACTAGTTTTAAGTATAGAAGGAAGGCATCGACCTTAGCTTAGCTTTCTCTGCTGCGACAGCCCCGCTGTATCCTTCCTACATCTTCCATATATTGCACTTGCTGTATGGGGGTGCTGAGGAAGCATTCGACGTGCACACCAGATGTAACTATGAAAGAGGTTAGATGGACGCGAAATATTTGCCACACTCATCAGAGCGCCTTCCACAAAGATGGTAGCTGTTACCGCCTTTGAAATAGGGTCCGACAATTCTCGTCTTCCGGGATGGAGAGAAACGAACTAAGAACACACCCGATAAGCCTGGTTGGACAGTGCAAACACCCGCAACGTATGTTATCCCACGTTGAGAACGCCTTATTCAGAGACAATGCACGATTGTACCCGTTCCCGTGCGCGACCATCTAATTTGAAAATCGCACATACGACACGTTGATGCTCCTTCGACGCATGCCCGAACTTATTATCATCTTGACTCTCCTTGAAGATTTCCACTTGATCTCAAGAAGCTGTATGCTCAGCTCCAATATCCTTACAATAGGTACCTTCTTCTCCCACCGAAGCCCGGTTTAAGTGCTCCTGGAGTCGCTTTACTAGCGCTCATTCAGAGCTGCTGGTCGGATTTGGGTAAGCGTTTACCGCTGTTGGTCCTTCGGCTTTCAGTTCTCTGACTATTTGGAAACAACAATAAACATAAGCTTACTAAGAGTGTATAAGATATCCCAAAAAGGGATACTCGACCATTGCATGACCATATTCACAGATTTTACAGTCCTTTCACAGCTCAATCGCACGACTGACTAAAGGTACAATCGAGCGCAACGAGGCTCCATGCACCTTGCACAGAGGAAGTTTGACTAAAGTAGTCTGCTTTAAAAGAACAAAAATTAGGTCGTGCGCTCCTGTCAGGAGCGAAAAATAGAGTCCTTGACATAGTGGCTCCACTATTAATTTAGTACATATATCTAGGGCTAATTCGGTTTTTATTCATACATCTTGCCATGCAGAAAAAATCTTTGCCATTTGACGTGCGACTAACAGTCCAAATCCACGCGTCTTCATAAAATTCGATTTTTCGAAGCCAATGAATTTATACAATTATTAAACTAGTCATGCAATTTCGTTCAATTGAGGTTATATTAGGGGCAAAATCCCCCTTTGGAATACTCACCTCGATTTACTCACTTTCGCACGAATATTCTGCGGCGACGTCATATCAGCAAGTCAGTCAGTTTCTACAACCCTTTCTTCACCATGATCGCTACCACATTGTGTAGATGACAAAGACACGCGAGGATAATGAAACTTTAATTATAAATACATTAAGTCTGTAGTGGCATGGACTGAGTCATCTGACGCCATCTCTAATAGATGAAGGAATGTTGCTCCGCGCATGCGCTTCGATGAATGCCCCTTACCACACAATTAATGTTGCCATCGGTCTATGGATAGTCTGTTTCAAACGTATCTAACGCGGTAGTATGCATTTTAAGCAAATCGTCTAGAATCTACACATTAGCCTTGTTGCTCAAGCGATCGACAAAAACTATAACCGTAACCATCTTCAGAGGGACCAAAATTAATGTCAATACTAATAAACTACCCGAGCTTTCGCAACCGTCCTCTTTTTAGTAGCGCCGAGGCATGGATGACAATTCGACCCTTTGATACGTTTGGAAATGGACCCATCAGTGCTTACCCATTTGCTCATCTTGAACGACCAAGTAAATTGTGCACAATGAGCCGTAGGTTTAAACTCGGCTGAGTTGTCCGACTAGTAGGGCTCTACAGCTTACTAAAGTTGAGATTATCGTATTGAGGAACTCGTTATGTGTTTGGATCCGAGAAAGCAAACAACAAACGTTGGGACAGATAGTAGACATTTAAGCACGTTGAAAAAACGCTAAGATGAAGTGATATTGGGGCTCAAAAACTGCTTACCCCATAACAGATCATAACGCCTTTCAGGTTGTGGCGAGCTATAACACATTACGGGTAATATCGCCGATGCGTGGAGTCATGTACCTCAGCTTTCATAATACAAAATCTTGGATGGACGGAGCTTGAATTTCAGCTTTCGTGGTAGGTATCCAGTAGAAGGAACTACCCACTTTGAAAACTTGAGCTTCAACCTTTGTAGAGAGTATCCAGTCGAAATGACTGGCTTACACCACCCACTTCTAGAGAAGGAGTCACGTCGGTTTCGTCACCAGTACAGATTCCCAAGTAGGAATCAGCATTCCATATAACACAGAATGTTTGTGATCTAATGTAAAAAGTCACATATACATTTGTGGTTTACCATACTGTAATTTATAAATACCCACAATGCATACAGAGGGTGCATAAATATACCTTCATGGAATGGCTTAGTGTAGCAGATTACACCTTGATGCTAAGTGAATAGATTTGTAGTTGTATCAAGTTCCTCGAAATCAAATGCGATACCACGTTCACGCCGATTCACAGCAGCTTGAAGTTAATCACAATCTATGGTAAAAGACGATACACCACAGACGACCGTCAAAATACGGGGGGGGGCGAATAGGTTCGCACATGATGCTGTTTGACAGCCTGGCATATAGCCGCTTTTGGATTGCGCTAATACCTATAAATTGGCACATAAGGAGAATAGTGAGAGGTCATACAACATCTGAAGAATTCGCATTATCCTTGCGCAAGTTGTTGGAATCAAAAGTTAACTCGGTCGGTTAACTTACTATAACGTTGAGAATCGCGGGATCTTCCCAAGGACCCTGCTGAATCATAACTTGTCACCGCAAAAATTACGTTTGCCGAAATTGGTAAACTATTCATAGCGTGTACACCAACACACAGCTCACAGGTGTTAAGTGAAATTGCCACAGCCAATTTCGTGCTAATCGCAACTATGTTCAAATTATTCACCAAATAGATATATGTAATTTCACGCTATAGCTTACACATCTACGCCATCAGACATCTGAAAGTTGCTGCCACATCAGACACTGCTTTGGGTAGCATCAGTCGTTTTTAACGTATCCTGCTCGTAGGATGCATTTTGGCGACGGATATCACTTATCATCGATGCATTTAAAAGTCTGTACAGGGTACACAATGTTATGCTTAATCCTTTTACGGAATTGGTATGGACACCGAGTGTTGTGGCTTATGTAGCTTATTTTGATTATACCTAATTCGCCATTTGTCGTCAGCGTTTCTGACGCAGGAAGTCGGTGCAGAGTGGAGATGGTTAACGTCTTTAAAGGACTCGCTTCGTGGTATGCGAAATAATGTGTCGTGGCAACGGCTATTGACCTATGAGGCAAAACTTTGTTTCGAGAAACTTAAGACGTGCATTAATATCCAGAACAACGCGAATGATGGGGATTTCGTCATCATGTCATGATGCTTCAGTCCAAAAAAGAAAAAGGATCCGTAGGATATTTCTGGGTAGATTTTTTACCTCTCGCATTGATTGATCTACGATTGTCT